AATTTGTGGCTCAGCAGCACCTGTTCAGTTTGGCTGCTGGTATAGAAAGGATATTCCTCCTGTCCATCTATTGTGGGCTAGCAGCATGACAGCTAACTCCAGCTCAGAGCTGGTCATCTGCAGGTGCAGGATGGTGTTCGGCTGTTCAGGCAGCACATCTGACAATGCAGCAGAATCAACAGTCTGATCTCATCTGAGGGCTGCCCGTCAGATCACACAGTCTTGCTGCATCCCTCTGATCTGACCTAACTTTGCACTCTCACTGTTTATTATGTAGATGTACAGCAACCTTTAAAACTAGGGTCCTTCCATCAAACCACATGCAAAACTTTCCTTCTATGTTAAGATAATGCATGGCTGAAACCAGTAGTAACTGAAGTGACAGAACACAGAAATTTAGAACAAAACAGTGTCTGAAAGAAATTTCTCCTTTCTATTCGCTGTTTTTTTTTTAAAGCAAATTTGTGTCATAATGCAAAATTCAGTCCTGCTTGTTAACAATTTACGTAATGAACATTCTGCATGTCCGAAGCTTTTTATAAACACTACAAAATGGTGACATTTTCTCTCCACGCCCTCACTGAGATGGATATAAATGCAAGCTGTAGTTCATCAGCAGTTCTGATTTGGTTAATTAACTGCAGGAGTCTTTAGAAAATGGTTCTCATATCAGATGCAACAGTGCTGACATATGAAACTCTTGCTTTTTAGTTTGCTTTCATTAAGAGTCTGGGAGCATTTGCATTAAAATTTTGTATTGTCAAAACATTTAATTGAAGAAAAAAACCTGTTTCTGTTGAAAAGTAGGAACATTCATACTCTTACTAGGAAGAACTTAACTGTCCTTTTGAGAATGCGTATCTGAATAAAACAAAAAAATATACATTTTGTAACAGACAAGACTTAAAACACAAATCAAAAGATATGGTATTTGTGGTTAAATTAGAACACTTCAGTGTACAAACTAGCTCTGCCACAAAGTTGTTCTTGGAGTTTTGGACTTCAAAGTGAACAGGAGTCATTTGATAATATTTGTTTGTTAGCTTGTTTGTTTGTTTTTCATGTTTCCCACAACTATGGACACTGAACCCGCAGCAGCAGTTAGAAACAACTTTGCACAACTATCTGTGCAACATGTATTTGCTGTTTATAGTGTCTGAGAAGGCTATCTTGATGGCTGTGACATCCCCCAAAACATTATTTGAAAAGAGAGATTAAAAATACACTTTCTTTCAAAAACACACAAAAAAACCCAAAGCCAGACATTTTTCATTCCTTTTTTTTCCAAAATCAGCATAAGCCTCTTTTTTCAAGGTTAGAGTTGATGACTCCTCACATCTCTTTTTTTTTCCTATTTTTATGCAAAAAAAGTTGTGTTTTCTCTTAAAAATCAAAAGGATAATAAACACCATGATAAATCTCCTAAACAAGTTACTGTATTAATTCTGTGTCCTTTCTTGTGATTTTTTTTTTTTTTTTTTTCTCCTGACCTATCTGTCTTTAGGCTATCTGGTTTGGGCAGTGTAAATCAGTAACACGTTAATGAGATTTAATGATCATTTAACAACAGACATGTAATAATAAGATTATGAGAAAAAAATAATATCTCATCCACAGGAGCATGAAATAGTAAGAAAAAATCTAATAATACAACAGTAGTAGGGGTCTTGAAGCCACCTTAACAGTACCAACAAGGATGGATTTACCTAGGATGGGAAAGAGGATGAGCATTTAACAGAGTTATAGCAGTGGTCAGTCACTTGCTAGGATAGCAGTGAGCAGTTTGCCCATTCACAAACTAGGGCTGTGTCTAGGTTTGGCCATTCAGATCCTAATGTTTCCAGCTTCTCCATCTAGTACTTCCTTAATAGATGAAAGTCTTTAAAGATGGGACATGGAGAGGGATCAATTAAGTCTTTCAGTTAGAGAGCCAAATCAACAATAGATCAAATATTATGTGAGAATGATCAAGCTCAATCAGTATTCTGGAAAAAAAAAAAAATCACCAGCAATAAATACCTGTTTCCAAATTCTAAGAATTTATCTTTGGAGAGCAACACATAATAAAACATTTTTCTCCCTTATGTAATTAAAACAATTAATACTTGAGCAATTCTCATATTCTTCATTCAAATTCATTGAGATATGTGATAACTGAATCTTTTTTCTTACAGATCTTGATACATTATTTTGTGGGACTGGTGCATGAAGATAATATTTTGATAAATTTTATAATTAAGCTTTTCTATCAAAAAACTAAGTTATATACCAGAGAGAGGAAAGTATTAAGAAGGGAGAAGCTAGAATTACATTAAAGTCTTCATGTTTAGTTTTTATTTATCTAATGAAAAACAATGCCATTCAGAGCAAAATTTGTTAATGTGCAGCATGAGGAAAGGAGTGGGAGAGATTTATTTGATGAATCAAGTTTGTTAATCAAATTAGTTTGTAATCAATTTTGTTAGCTGTGACAATTATCCTTAAAAATAACATGAGTACAACTGATTGAGGCTTGCACTAATCACATAATCAATACATTTTTTATTCCACATAAAAAAGGTAAAGTTACCACACCACATTTTCTAACTGGAAAGCAGACATCCATTGGAGCTATCCAGAGCCTGTATCAATATTTAACTTATTTAAAAATCCCTGATACATTCAATATTATTTTAATGCATGCATTTTAGTGTAAGCAGTTAAACTCATATGCTAAATCAACGGTTTGCAACCTCAAGGGCCTCGTTGGAAACTCACAAAGTGCCTGAGGGCTGCATCTAATTTACATATACATTTACATGAATGTACATCCTGTTGTGCTTGAAATATTACAGATCCAACATTACTTCCTTTGCATGCTCATTTTAGAGGCTTTTTCCTATAGAAATTTATCTTCAGATGCACTGATAGCTCTCCCTGTTAACACCCTTATTAGGATGATGGGGCGTGGTGTCCTCTTGCAAAATCCTGTACAGTCGTGGAAGCAGAATAGAAATAAAATTAGCAACTGTTTTTCTTTCCCTGTC